AGCCCCCCTGCAGGCCCCTAAGACGAGCCCGTACCGACGTCTGCCCACCCAAGTGAGAAGGGTGAGGAGAGGGGACGAGCTGCGGTAGGGCCGGGTTCTCCTTCCCGCCTCCTTGGTGTGGGCTAGGGCCCTTTGCCAAAGCGACGGGCCTTCCCACACCATCGGTGAAGGGGGAGGGCAGCGCAGCGAAAAGCTCTTGGTCCTGGTGCGCTCTGTGCCTCGCTGTAGGTCAAACTCCAGCCTGTTGCTTGTCCTGTGCAAGGCCGGGACTTTCTGCCCTTGCAGAGACAAGGGACTACCCTGCTTGAGAACGTTCTCTCAGGCTTGCAGAACGTCTCGTTTTGCACGCTGCAGGCACAGGTTTCTCCTGCAGGAAGAGCTTTGTGCAAAAGCCGATATGACCTTAGACTGCTGGAAGCCAAGGACACATGCAGGCCGCTTGTGAAAGAGGATTCATTCATTTATGCCTCGTTAGATGTAAAAGTCTAGGTTATGTGTGTTCATTTAATAGCCTTGGAATTAGTCTTCATGGCTTTTATACTTTCATTTCAAAGTACATATCACTGCTGGCTGGACTGTCTGGCTTTTTTGGTGCTGTTTTGCTGTGTTTTCTGTCAGTATAAGGCATGGACAGGTTCATTGAATGATGATAGCTATTTGCAATAACGTCTCCTGAAAACGGCGCTATCAGATTGCATGGCAGTGTTTGCTTCTGTATTGTTGAATGTATATCCAGCTCCGCAAAGATTGTTGTCTTTCAAGTAAGACAAATGGCTTATTAGCTAATAGCCTTGTATTCTTAAGAGATTTAAATTAAAAGATTTTATGAAAACAAATGTTTCTTTTCTATATATCTTTTTTCCTCCTCTTGCAGATCCGTGCTGGATCAAGAGTCTTGTACAGACCAATTTCAGCATCTGTGTTGTCTAGGCCAGAGGTCAAGAATGGAGAGGTACCTTATAAACAAAATTCTGTATCTTCCTAAATTACCTGGTGAGCCTAAATGTTCTCAACCTAGAGTTCACTTGTACTAACTCAAATACCTGTAGTGTGAAACTTGCTTTAAGTCAAACACCAGTAATACTTGTTGCTGTCTTGCTGTTTCCCCTGAGAAGTCCTTCACACTTAAAGGTGATCGCTTTCAGGCGGAGCAGATAACATTCTGAAGTTTTTAACTCTTAGTTATAGTCTTGTCACTTTGAAGAAGAACTAGACATTGGATCTAATACAGCTTGTCAAACTGCAGACTAACGCTGTCAAAGCGGTCGTAGGAAATGGTATGTGTCTGAATGTAATGCTTTTTCATGTTTTGTTTTCTTAGGGCAACTCAACGCTTAATGGGGCCCAAAATACTGTCTCCCGACTAGCACTTAGAGAATTCCAGACTAGTGCTATCAGCAGGGACATTGACACTGCTGCCAAATTTATTGGTGCTGGTGCTGCCACAGTAGGTGTGGCTGGTTCTGGTGCTGGCATTGGAACAGTCTTCGGTAGTCTAATCATTGGTTATGCCAGGTAATCAATCTCTCTCTTTAAAAATCTCAAGCTGCATGCAGATATATCTTGAGACAGCACCCCCAGATAAGCTAAGTTGTAGTAAGCACGATGGCACTGTAATAAATTCTGTTAATAATTACTATGAATTATAAACATGGCTAAATAGAATCATATGAAACTGTGCTCTATTCATCAGGATGTCTCTGTTGTTAAATTCAGAACTTTGTACGCTATACCTGGAGAAGAGACATGAAAGAAATGAAATCATTAGACTCAGTGTTTCAGTCAGAAGTCTAATGTTTCAGCATTCAGTTCCAGAACTGAATTAAAAATCTAGCTTGGATCTTTTCCCATGTGAGGGGAGAAGTCTTGAAGAGAAACTCTATGAAAAGTGGTAATAAGTAATGTGAGTTTGTATGCTTTTGTCTTCGTAGTCAGGGCTGTTGTTTAGAAATGGATGCTCAAGTCAGTTTTCTGATGCATTCAGCTTTGCATCTCAAATATGTAATTTATCAAATGAATAATTATTCCTTCTAGAAATCTGAAGGGGTTGAAGGTGGGCATTTTATGGTAGGGGTGAGCTTCTTCCAGATAAGTTTACAGTGTTCCTGTGGCAGGAGTAGTTCACGTGGTATCATGGAAGAGCAGAACTGATACAGGCATAAAAAGCTTTACTGAAGTTTTTCTGTTCTTCATTACTCTCTCAACTGGCTAAGACTTAAGTATTATTTCCTAACAAAGATTTTTTAAGCCCTACTGAAGACAAGGAAGTTCACTTTCCACTTGAAGAGATATAAGTATTTTCAGTACAAAACTAATGTCTCATTTTTTGAATTTGGTGTGAACGTGGTTCTACACAGGTTGTAGAACATTACTTCATGGTATTATGTTGAAGGGGGTTTTTTTCTCTCCCACACACTGGAGAGATATTTCAATACATTTTTGCAACAAACTGCTGTATATTTCTTTCTTTGCTCTGGGTGGTTTCAGTTCCTGTATTTGAGAGCTATGTAAAATGTTATACACACAAACTTTTATGGAATATAGTTCTAATGTCACAGGCGTGAAAAATTTCTAAGCCATGTACAATCTGTATAATATCAGTCTAGTTTTAATTGCCAACTCGTGCGTCTAAAGTGAAATCCTTGCTAAAAATGTCTTCTGCTTGGATTTAATGGATTTTCCCATTATGGAATCTGTGGCAAGGAAGTCTGAGGTTCTGAATCTGTCAGATGCATTAAACTGTATGAAAAACATCTTACTTGTAAAGATAAAGAGATCTTACACCTTCGCTTTCTTTCAGAAATCCTTCTCTGAAGCAGCAGCTGTTCTCGTATGCTATCCTGGGATTCGCCCTGTCTGAAGCTATGGGCCTCTTCTGTCTGATGGTTGCTTTCTTGATACTGTTTGCCATGTGAAAGGAGATCTGCCTGTAATACTGGCATTGGAATGTAACTGCATTTTATGGGACTCCCAGAATGTTAAGTGTCATGGAAATTGATGCTATTTCCAAAGTCATTTCATTAAAGATAACGATAACTGTCAACTTGTTGCCTGCTTTTATTATCTTTTTCACTAGGATGTCTGGAAGACATCATCTTGTCACCGTGGATTTCTCTTGATAATGACATATCGTACAAAATCCTTCCAACAATGACTTCAAGTCAAACATTTTATTTATTAATATATACGGGCATGTCACTTGTTTGTTAAAACTAATGTGGCATAGCTTTGAAACATCAAAGGACACACAGATTAAATGTGAAAGGCTACACTGCTGGCCTTGTTCCTTCACTTGTGTTTCAAACTTACCCAGAGCTGTTTCTGTGCACAATTAGTTTTTTCTCAGGCTAGCTGGCACATGAGGTTCTGGCACCTCTTGATAGGAGCTAAACACAAATTCATGAACGGTGATAGGGAAGTTCTCTCTGCATCACTTTTCAGTTACACTGTAAATTTTGGTCAGTGTGGTAAAAATGTTCCACTTGGTTCTGACCAGTGTCCCAGCTGAACTAAACTAATGACGGCTTTAGGTTGGTTCAAGGCATCCACTTGTGGCACATTGATACTATACTCTTACGTAGTTAGTACATTCTTGGCATCACCAAATTGAAAGGGAGAACTTAGTTTCCTAATTTTGTAGAGTCAGCCTTGCATTATCTCTTAAATTATTTTAAGAGCATTAGGATCAAAGCATTTTTAAGTAACTGCAGTATCATGTTTTGCTTCTCACAGTATCTGTCTTTTAACAATATTGTCTACACTTACAGCAACATACTGTGTGCTGCTACATGCTAATCTGGGGGGGTGTTAGCATCTCAAACTCAAAATATTAAATAATAGACCTAATCGTTTGACAGATATAAGCTGAACTTTGGAAGAACACAAGAGAGCTTGTTACAAGCTTTGTCATCTTGCTGTTAAATGGGTACATAATGGATTAAATCAAGGATACCTTTTACTGCAAGCTGCCTATCCCTAGGGAAATGGAGAAATGACTAATGGCTCTCAGATCAATGCAAGGTGCAGGTAAGACCTTTGTTTTCATCTGAAGTCACATACCAAACTGGTGTTCATGGAGACATGGTTTAGTGGTGGATTTGGCAGTGTTACTTAATGGTTGGACTCGATCTTCAAGGTCTTTTCCAACCTAAATGATTCTGTGATTCATGTAACCTAACTTGAACCTAGCATGAGAAGTTAACTTCCCTATGTGTTCTTAGGATAAAATACTCATCTTCTCAAAAGGATTGTGTAAATACAGAGAATATCCTTTTATACGTGTGAGGTTTGGGAGTGTAGAACATGCAGCATCTTTAAATACTCAGCTCTAGCATGGTGTTAGTAGTGCCATAAATGACCAGGCCTGGAAGTGGGTTTTTACGGGGGTGAGAGTGGTGGGAGGTAAAGCACATTGCAGCTATCTTCCATGTGGTCTATGCTCACACAGGGTTTATTTTATGAACTTACTGTTGGCCATTCTTGTAAGCTATTCTGTTCCAGAACTGACATAACTCTATCTGCCCTGAATGAAAGGTAGATAATGATTGCTAGGATTCTAGGCTAAAGCTCATCTGTGTACCACTCTTTCTGGTAGGTGATGAACTTCATTCTCTTCTTTCAGTACTGTAGAGATCTCTGCAGGCGTCTGAGCTGGCAATCCGTATTTCCTAATATTGTGGACTAGTCTAGTGGACTAGCTTAGTTCAAGCTTCACATGTCCATGGCACTGGAATCTGGCCCAACAAGGATCCTCAAGCTTGTCTTGGTTAAATCTAGCTCCAGCTGTGTTAGTTGTACTTATAAATTTGTTTGCATGTAACATGGTTCTGCTGAGTTGTAACTGTGTGTTTGGTGTAGCAGATCTGGCTAAGCTGTTGCTCCATAACCTCAATAAGAAAGCCACCTGAGTCACCATGAGTTACTTGAATCAAGTTTTAATAATGATTTCTGGATTTACAACCCATTTTTCCCCATGTGGTTCACCTTGTCAATGTGTACCCTTTTCCCTGTGATCAGATTTGTCTGAAAGGCAGCAGACATCTCAGGTGGCCCTATACATGGATGTGAAGCCTGTCTATTTTAGTAGTAACATCTCCCCAGGCTTGTTATCTTTCAACTCACTCTTAGACTGCTGAACGTGGGCCAAACCCAAGCAAAATTGCTATTTGGTTATGCCAACCTTGAAAGAACTGGATCTCGGTGTTACAGATAAAGACTAATCAAGGATTTTCACATCATGGCAACAAACCTTCATACAGAGGATTATCCTCCTTACAGACAATAAGGGGCTTAGAGTCAATGGGTGATGGGCAGACTTTCACGTCTGAGTGGTCACAGGGCAGTGACTCCCTTCCTCTATACCTCTGTTTTCCCTGTTCTTGAAATGCAGAGCTTAGTTTCAGTGGTTGCTTGAGCAGTTTAACAGCTCGGTCAATTTGAGTGGCCTTACAAAGATAAAAAAAATACTCTGTTTTCCTAAAATGCTCACAAAGGAGGCAACTATAAATGTGTGAGAGATTGTTGGGTTTTAAAAAAAAAACAACCAACCAAAAAACCCAGACCACAAACAAACCAAACCACCAACCTCTTCGCAGTGATTGGGCAGTAGCAGATCAAGGACTCTTGATTTTCTCCATGAGAGTCTACATCATTAAATCTTTTTCATAGAGAAACCAGGTACAAAGTTCCATGAAGTGATACTCAGGCTTCACTTTCCTGAAACCTTTTCCAGAGTTTCTTCTGACGTGGATGGTTCTGACTTCAGAACTTGACAACTCGTGAAAATTCATCTTGTGGGTTCTCCGGATCCAAGGACTGTTTATTTTTCACTGTTGAAGATGGAGCCAGCTGAAGCAGAGATCTTTGTTGTCTCTGAATAGCTGCTCTGCCTGCTGTCCCAGTAGACAAGACATCATTCCACCTTGGAGAGTGATGTGCACAGTGCTGTCCTCCTAATGCAGTTGAAGGAAATGTTTATGTTACCAGATGCTCTTAAATTATCGCTGCAGGTAAAAGTGATTAATCCTTTCCATCCTGCTTTTTTTTTTCCTTTCCTGTTTTCCCTTTGTTTGTTTTTTGCACCAATTTCAGACTGAAGAAACACAATAACTTGCAGTTCTGGTTTTTGTCCAGCTTCAGGACTGATGCTGCTGTGTGATGGTAGAGCTAAACCACTAAAAAGTACTTGTTTCCATTACAGCTCTTCGTTGCTCTGTGAGGAAAGAAGAAAGATCATTATTATATCCTTTTGTACTCACACTTGAGCCTTTGCAACACGATTGCACTAAAGAATAATTCCACCCTCAAGTTAACAGTGTGCTTCTACGCAGTGGTTTTTATCCCACCTTATCTCAAGGAACTTTGCAAAAGTGCTGCCCAGTGCCTACCAAACAATTTACAAGAAATGAAACATACCGTGTTAACTTTTGCAAGTTCAGGGAAACTTAGGCAAAGTGCAATTTACTGGAACTAATACTACTTTTTTAGAATTCTTTTTTGTTGTTCTTCATAGTCTCATATTCTCAGACTCAGACAGTTCTGAATGATACAGGCACAGAATTAAAACTTCCTCTGTGGTTCAGAGCACATGCGAGCTCAACTGTGTTGCCAGATGTGATTATGATATTTAATTCATCCAAAATGCCTCCAGGTCCTTCTATGTAAAATAGAATCTCTTCTTGTATAGCGCTGCAGCATTTTTGATACAATCAAATATGGTTCTGCTAAACATCTCCTTGGCTTCAGGCACACACCCAGCACCTGCTGCGAGAGTTGGGGTGTGTAAAGATGGGGAAACCAAGGGCAGGACACGGTTTTGGAGGACTGGTTATTCCAAAAGTTAGCTGTGACAAGCGCATCAAGCGCTGTGACCGAGCAAAGCCCGGCAGCAGTTTTGTCTCCACCTGCCTTCTGCTGCCTTCCCCAGCAGCAACGGAGGCCAGGCGCTTCCTACCCTAAGCTCCCCATCCGACGGGCCTGCCCAAACGCGCAGGATCGGCACAAATCTGGTGGCAGATGAGCTGCTCGGATG